TAACATTTTTTTCCTAAAAAAGAAAAATGATTCTGTAAATATTTTTTTTATGGTTTGATAGATTTCAGGATTCATTTTTAATTAAAATTTTAATTATTTTTAAGAGAAAATATAATGAGCAATTCATTCAAAAACATTATATTTTAAAACATATATAAGAAAATAAATTAATAAATTTAAATATTTAATTGTGCCATTGCTAATTAGTTGAGAATTTAATCAAAATTAAAAATTCCGAAAATAAAATTCTATTGTGCTCTTGAAATTTAATTGTCATTATAATAAATCTTGAGATTTAATTGTCATTATAATAAATGGAGGTAGTTGAACACTTTTTTTATTTATTTCATAAATTTTTAACAAAAAATTTACTTTTTAAATAATTTTTTAAAAGTTAATTTCTCGTCATAATTTTACTATCATCTTTATAAAAAACTGCAACATAGTTCCATAAATTTGATGATGACTAAAGAGTTTTAGGCTTCGTTTGGAACGGCTTTCTTCAAGAATTAAAATTTTTGTACTAGAAAGCCGCTTTAAGAAACAATAAGAAAGCCATTTCAAACGAAGCCTTAATGAAGACTCTAGATTGACAAGTTTTGAAAAAACTCTTGAATTTCATTCTTATCGTGACAGTTTTAACTAAAATTTCGTTTGAAGCAACTAATAGCTGCCAAAAATAATAAGTATTGATTATTTTTTTAGTTTTTTTATTAATTTTAAATAAAATTAATGAAACTATAAAAAAATCAAGTAGAAATTATCAAAACTTAAAATAATAACCAAAAGTGTTTGATGTGATGCGATTAAAAAGGGAAAAAATTATCTCATAAACTCCTAATATGTTATATGCTTTTACATACTGATTTTTTTTTATATTATGAATAGTTTGTAGTTTTAATATTGTTGCATGCTAGAATATTTGTGACAGCTGAATGTTTTTGTATTATATGAAAATCCAACACATATAGATAAAAGAGGAGTCATAAGGGACATTAGAATTTTAATGTGAAAAATCTTGAAAAGAGGCTGCACGATATGACCCAATTAAAATGAGTGTATTTTTATATGTCATCGACAACAAATGATGTTATTCTTGGGGGGAAGTCATTGATACAATGTAATAAGTACAAACTATATAATGGGAGCTGTCTTCATGAGTTGCTTGTAGTTTGTTTGGTCATCCACTTTGAGAAAGGAAGTCCAACATAAATTTTAGTGCCAATGTTGGGAGTCATGATTGGTGCACATGAATGCATCAATCTAATAAATAATAACATGCATTAATATAATTGGTTAAAAATGTGATGAAGTCAGCGTGGTCACTATAGCAAGGCAATCATGGACGGAGGATTGTAGGTAGGAGGATCATAGTTGGGCGAAGGTGATCATAGAACTGCAGTTGAGCAAAGGCGACTATAAGTCTATATTTAGTCAAAGGTGATCAAAGGATTTTGGTAGGGTGACAATGGTTGAAAAGATCATAATCGAACAACAGAGGTCGAAGAACTGTAGTTTGGTGACAATGGTCAAATTAAGATTATTGTTAGGTGATGATAATCTAATTATATTAGTTGGACGACGGTGGTCAAAAGATTGTACTCGAGCGATGCTAGTCGAAGGGTCATAGTAGGGTGAAGAAAATCGAAATATCATAGTCGGGCAATAATGGCTGATGGATTGAAATATATCAAGTGATAATGGTTGGTGGGCCCCAGTCTACTGGCGGCGATTGAAGAACATCAATTAAAAGAATGATGGTTGGAATAACTATAATCAGACGGTGATGGTTAGAATGATCGTTGTCAAGTGACAGTGGTTGGATATTCCACTTAGATAATGATAATTATCTTGACTACCCTTTTCACATTTATAACCCTCCATCCTCGCTTTGTTTATTCCTTTTAATGATGTCATCTTCACCTCGATAAGGATGATTATCTTGATATCCCATAGTCACCTTTTTGCCTTCATACACTATTTGACCCATTACTTTCAGGGGAATATCATTTCTAATGTCAAAAGCAAGATTATTCTAACCACCTATATGATTGTCCTACTCTGTCGCCAACAATCGATTGTTCAAATTTCATCTCTAGAAGGAGGGCATTCCTAACTGCTCTTAGCCACCTCCACAACATTTCTAGGCTGCTTTAGTAGCCCACCTTCAAATCTTGTAGTCTCCACATCTAGGATTATCATCCTAACCAAACTTAATTACTTTTGTTACCTTCCAACACCTCCTCACCACATTTTCAAGTCGTATCTTCTCCTCCTCTAAAGACCATCTTGGCTACCATAGAGTTGCACAGCCTTTCAACCTCATCTCATCTATTACTTTTTAAGTCACGCCATGTCCATCTCCAACAAAAGTTAATCTTGATTATACGTAATCACCACAAATATTTCTTGCACCACATTCCTGTCATGCCATCTTCATTTCCTAAGAGCACTATCACAATCATTTTCAATGCCTTCCTCATTCTTCATTGATGCATTTTCTATCGCCCGAACAACTTAGCCATTCTCACTGCCCTCCCTAAATATCCAATTTTGCCTCATTCTTCACCTTCAAGTTGAGTTTCTTTTGCCTCTCAGAAAATAAAAACATTCAATATTATTTAGGTCTAGTAAAGTTACGTGAATTCAAAATGGTTTGTTAAAAAAAAAAAAGGCTATATTTCCTTATTTGCTAGATATGAATGGAGGCATATGAGCTTGCCTCTTTCGCAAGTGATCTTGTGTCCTTCTAGGCTTTTAGTTAAGCACAAATTCTTTGCTTGATTAAGAGCTACGCACTCTTCCATAGGAGGTTTAA